CCTTTATCAGAAACATATTTTGCAAATATTTTCTTTCGGTCTATGACATGTTTTCTCATCTTGAATCATTATTGTTTTACTAAGAAAAATAACTACAGCAATAAAACACACACACACACACACACACACAAACACACACACACGTGTACACATTTTAAGACCTCAAGTTAGTCAAGCTCTTGTAGCTTTGTTGTATTGTGAAAATAATTTTATCAATAGATAATTTCCAGTATTTAAATGAGAAATGGTTTAGAACTGTGACATGTATTTATTAGGAAAAAATGTGGTTGATGAATATCAGATAAACATGAACTTTAAGTAACATTGTGAAATATTTTTGAAATCTTTTGTAATTTGACAAATATTTTGAATGTTTGGTAATGTGAAAATTACTTTTAAAGTCTCCTTTGTGGGTAAAGTCTTCCAAAGGCTAGTGATATCACAATGTGTCTCTGAACTGATTAATTAGAAAATATTCAAAATTGTTTTAAAATTCTCACTATTTTTATTGCATACTGCTCTATTTCTTGCCCCCCACAAGCTAGCTATTGCAAGCAAAGATGAGCAATTAGCAAATTTCTTAATTTGCTTGTCATGTTGTAGGTAATAGTAGTAATTCATTTTAGGGACATTTGCTGCTTTTATAAAAGCAAACACATAAATGAGCACTCCTCAATTCCAAAATTATTTTGTTTTCTATTAGGATAATCCAGAATTGCAAAAAACAATAACCATAACCATGACAGATTTTGTGTTATGCTTACCAATGCTGAAAGCAGAAACAGAAGTGAAATTCACTAATTATCTAATTTTTCTGTAGTCCCAACTATTATCTTTACTGCAGTTTCACAGTTATGGTAGTCACTGTGATGTGCCACTGCTTAATGACTTTTTTTTTCTCAACCGTTGGGAGTACAGGCAGTAAATAGCATTTAACAGTCAGCTTCTTCAGGGATGACCATTGTTGCCTTGTCCAAACCATGTCCTTTCCCAGATCAGCCTATATACATTCAATCATTGAGGTTATAAAGGCTCATCAATTTGTGCTCTCCATTGGACAACTGTAACTAGCCTTTTAAATTCAAGAGTATTCTGAGGCTATTGGCTTGCATCACAGCCCAACTTCTCTCTCAGCTCAATCTTGCTTTCTTACCTTCATTTTAACATACTGATCCCAAGTGTACAACCTAATAAATACTGCACAAACATACCAAATTCAATCTCAGAGTCTGCTTGTCAGAGAATTCCACTGGTGAAAATAGTTTCATCTCCAGCAGGAACTATGCATTGTTTCAAACTCAACATGTCCCAAGCCATATTTATCATCTTAGTGTCAAAATTTCTCTCTCATTTTTATTAACATATATCTGAAAATAATGCCACATATCTCTTGGTTATTTATTCTATATGGAACACCAAGTAATTTTTTTTTAAATATCTTCCATCCTTATTTCAATACTTCCAATAAGACATCAAATTTGGTGTTTTCTTCCAAATTCAACATTCCTTTCTATTTCTGTTGCCAGATTGACTGTCTGGGTCCTTGATACTTAGTACCTGAGATACTGTCAATACCTGGACACCATGTCTCTTATTTCATATACTGGTCCTTCTTACATATTAGTTATAAATTAGTTTTCCTGAACCATCAGTTTCAATTCTCTATCGAAGAATCTCTGGTGGTTTGTATTTCATAAACTCTGAAAATATGATTTTATATGTATTTGTCTTTATTCTCCAACTTGCAAACTCCTAGGACTAAGACTTATACTTGCTACATGATGACAACAGGAGACGTCAATAATGGAAGTCCAATGTGTTAGACTCCAAACCTCTAAATTTGAATAATTACATAACCAAACATTACGTGATAAATATACCCTCAGAATATTTTAAAAAAATTTTAAAAGCTAACCTGATACTTATTTCCTATCATTTATATTATCCATTTTTAATTTTGATTCTCAAATATTACAATTAACTGTAGAGAATGAAAGATAAAAATTGAAGTGATTAAAAATAAATGTAAACTTATTATTTAAGTTATTTAAGAAATGTAAGAGATTAAAAATAAATGTAAACAAAAAAGTCAGCATTTCCTTTTTTGAACGCGTAATAACTTGGTAACATTTTACAATGTAATTTATGCCAAGTTAGTGAAGAGATTTCATTTTCTTTCTTTCTTTTTTTTTTTAAGATGGGGTTTCAACATCTTGGCCAGGTTGGTCTTGAACTTCTGACCTCATGATCCACCTGCCTCAGCCTCCCAACGTGCTGGGATTACAGGTGTGAGCCACCGCGTCCGGTGAGATTTCATTTTAAGTAAACATTCACATTCAGAAATGTTTAGTAACTTTTTTTTCTTAAAATCAGGATGCATATACTTTGTTGTCAGTTATTAATAAAATATGTTGCCAGAGTTAAGAAAAGCTATTAGCAAGAGGGACCTCAGAACTACATGCTAGATTAACTCAATAGATAACTTTGTTTTTGAGACAGTGTGGCTCTGTTGGTCAAGCTGGAGTGCAATGGCATGATTTTTTGTTTCACTGAGACCTCTGTATCCCAGGCTTAAACCATCCTCTCATCTTAGCCTCGCAAGTAGCTGGAACTACAGGCATGTGCCGCCCCACTCAGCTGACTTTGTATTTTTTGTAGAGATGGGATTTTGTCAGGTTGCCCAGGCTGCTGGTCTCGAACTCCTGTGCTCAAGCCATTCTCCCACCTTGGTCTCCCAAGTGTTGGGATTACAGGCATGAGCCACCATGCTCAGCCTAGATAACTCATTTTAAGACCCAAAGATCATTAGAAATTAGCCCACAACCTTGCCTCCATAGGAATTAGACTTATTTAAATATCTGATCTGCAAAAGTTAATAGAAAAATTAAGCTTATTTTCCAATATAAACAATAAAATTACACAACTCTGTGACATATGCACAAAAGAGATTTTCTCTCCCTTTTTATGGAGCTTTTGCCTTATAGTTATGCCTATTCAAGTTGACACATTTCAAAGCTACCACTGTTGAGAAAACATTTTAGGATCTATAATCTAAATAGAAAGCCTCTAAGTAGCCAGTCACAACATCTCCTAGAGATCCTTTCTGGAACCTGGGTAGACTAGTCTCCCAATTTTAATGATCACAATGCTGAAAGAACCTGGGTGTCCAGTAGGAAAGTGGTCTAGTTGATGACAGTCTCAAAGAAGACAGACTAGAAAGAAAAAAAATGACATTTGTGGCAGACTACTGGTTGTCCTACAATATCCATTCTCTCCTTCTTCCTCAGTAGTATGGCTCCCAATTGTTATATAGGGCTATCACTACTCAGAATAAGGTTTGCTAGTTTATAGTTTGTGGTAGCCGTTAGACTAAGTGCTGTCCAATGGGATGCAAGTAGAAGTGATACAAGTGATTTGTGAGCAATGTTCTCAAGGGAAGGGGTACAACCTTCTTCTCTTCGGTCTGTCTGGCAGGTGGAATGAGGATGTAATGTTGGAGCTGTGGTAGCTATCTTAAATTACGAAGGTGACCTTAGCAATAGAGGTCAAGCACATAAGAGCAATAAGACAGATTCACTTGATTCCCTCCTACAAGATTTCTCCACTACAGAGCCATCTTGGTATCAGCTTTCAGATCTTTGCAAGTAAATGCTGGTTTTAAATATCTTGTCTAATTTCTTGTTAACCATATTGTGTTGTTTGTAGCCATAGAACAGAGAAGTTAACTAGTGTAGTATCAAATTTGCAATTCTAACTTAATTACTTAATTAGTTAACATAATCTATGTAAAGGATGTAAGTCTTCCCTTAAAGGGCCTGGATTTTAAGTTAGAATTATATTTTTATAAATTTATGTATTGTGCTTATTAAAATCTCATAATCTAATTTTTACTGTAGTATTTCAAATCAGGAGATAATTTTTTAATGCCTTCTTTTAATTAAAATAATTTCACTTTGTTTTTTCAAATCCATAAGCACACATTTCTTTGCCTCTTTCTATAAAATTGCTACTCTTCTAGCTCTCACTTTTATGTATTGAGTAACTGATACATTTAATTTTTAAAAAGTTTTAGTTTGTAATTTATAAAATCTTATTTACTTCTATCTTCTGGATTCTTTCACTCCTATTTACTGTGATAATTGACTTTTATCAATTTTATTTGACAACAAGGAGGTCATCTGATGACCTTGGGAAGGTGGAGGAAACCTTCTGGATTGACATGAGGGAAGAATATGAAGAAATGGAGACAGTGACTGTGGACAATTCTTTTAACAATTTTTTCTGGAAGGCTCCATAACCAGAAATTTCTAAGGTGATGAGAAAGACTTAGCAGAGAGGGAATTTCAGAAGCCATAAAGAAACCGTAATTATATGCCAAGCATGGTGCAACATCCTGCGGGGATACTACGTTTCAAGTCTTCAGTGCATGGTCAACTACCATCTAGCTGGCAGGTCAAGGTGAAATAGGGAACATAAGTTCACAGTTATACAGGTATGGTATCAAATACCACTGGAGAAATGAAAATGTAAGAGAAAGGATAAATCACCTCTACTGGGTTAGAAAACGGCCTCATGAAGAAGATGGCATTTGAATACGCTACTTAGGGTTTTTTGCTGTATAAGTCGGTGTCAAGGTCACGTTTTCACGTGGTGGCCTGATCATTTTGTCTTATAGTGATGTCTGTGTGCGTATGCGCTCATCTCCGATGTTGGACAGGGTCTAGAGCAGTTCCCGGTACAGAGTAATCACTCAGTATTACATTACTCTAATAAATCATGATAGTAAATCTTGAAGGGATAAATGAAGTCATGAATAAATGTATGAATTAACGAGTGGCAGTGAGCGTCTCAGGAGTGGTGGGCCCTTCTTTGAGCCGCAGCCTCGCTGAAGGTACAGTGCGCACAACTGGCTGGTGGCCCAGATTCCACTAAGGACCGGGATTGCAGCCCAAGCTCCGGGGTAGGAGGGACGACTCCAAGCGGTAGGGGGCGCCGGCGCGGACGGGCAGGGCCCTCAAGAACCTCCGCGCGCAGAGCCGGACCGCCATCTACGCCATGAGCGCGCTGCTGCTGCTGGTGCTGCGCGCGGGCCGCGGTTGGCGCGCGGGTGTCCCCGCCGCGGCCTGCCTGCAGTTGGCGACTAGCGCCGGGACCCAGCCGCGCCGTGCTATGGCCCAGTACCACACCGAGGAGCGCGGAGAGCCCTGCTCGCATAATTACCGCCTCTTCTTCAGTAAGTAGTTCGCGCAGCTTCGCCGCGCCGCGCGCCGGAGAAACCTGGGTGGGGGATGGAGTGGGGGACACTTGCAGCGCCCTGCGCGGTTTCCCCTCTCTCTCTTTGGGGTCCTCGGCGGTCACCCCGCGCTCCAGCCCCGCGAGATCATGCGCCGAGTCAGGAGAACGGCCAGAGAGGAGGCGGCGGATCCAGACGCCAAAGCGGAACGCCGGGGCGCAGGGCAGCCGGCGGCCGGCGGCCGGGGGAGGGAGACAGCACCCTGCACCCTGCTAGCCGCCCACCCAGAGAGGTGGGCAGAGTGCGAGCGTTCACCCCGCGGCGGCCAGCAACGGTTAGCAGGGCCCGGCGGCGGTTCTCAGTTCCCACAACTTAGTGAGGAAAGGAGGGCAGAGTCCGCCCACCGGCTGGCCTTTCTGGTGGCGTAATAAAGCCGTGAGAAAGCTCCTCCTTCCGGGAGCTTCCTGCTGTCGGAGAAGCAAGCGGAACTTTGCAGTGTCTAATCCAACGTTTTGGAAAGATCTGATAAAGGTTATTTCCCAGAAGCATGACTTGATACGCACAGGTTTACACCCTGAGTGTGATCACGATCAAAAGCCTTGCTGGCTCCAGGGCAGCCCCTTCTTCTCCACAAGTTGGGCAAGCCTAGAGTGCTAAGCGACTTGCCGGGTCCCTGAGCTGCCCAGTTCAGGGAAAAGACCCAGGTCTTCGTGACTCATTGTTCGGTGTACTCCAGTGTTTCACTATGTACGTTAACTGTACCTGGAAATAGCGATCTTGGTCGCTTGCCTTCACGCCCCACTGACTGCAGAGCCATGGAGTGGTAGTATCTAAGTGGGCCTTGCATTATCGCTCCCCTGTTGGGAGCACTGGCTCTGGAGGCTTTCACTTCTAAGCTGGCCCTCGAGTTCTTCATCTGACCCCGAACGACTTTAAGTTTCTAAGCCTTGTTTTTTCTCATCTGTAAAATAGGGATGCAAGAATTACATGACGTTGTATATATAAAGTAATTAGTCACAGGGCCTAAAATAGAAATCACTATTAGTGATACCTCTACGCATTATAGACATTTGTACTGTAAGAAAGATTTGCAGTTATCCTACAAGAGGCTAGGGTCGAGGATTATTTTCTGGGAGCGAAGACGACCTTGCCTAAAGTCTTCTGATTATAATGCAACTAGTACTAGAATTTTTATCTTTTTTAAAATTGGTTTCAGTTTTCACCCTATGCCACATATTTTCTTCTATCTTCATTTGGTTAAGATTAATCAGGTGAACAGGAAGTATCAAATTTCTCAGTGGATTGTGTTCCAAAAGGTTACCATGTGATGATTAATGGGAATAGTCATAGAAACAGTGTTACAAAATGGCAGTTCCCTTTTGTTGTTGTTGTTGTTGAGACAGAGTCGCACTTGTTGCCCAGGCTGGAGTGCAGTGGCGTGATTTCGGCTTACTGCAACCCCCACCTCCGGCGTTCACGCAATTTGCCGGTCTCAGCCTTTCGAGTAGCTGGGATTACAAGCACATGCCACCACACCTAGCTAATTTTTATATTTTTAGTAGAGACGAGGTTTCATCATATTGGTCAGGCTAGGCTTGAACTCCTGACCTCAAGTGATCCGCCTGCTTCGGCCTCCCAAAGTGCTTTTTAAGTAGATTTTAAAAAGCGTGTCTACTGCAAGTATTCTAGATTTGCAAGAAGTACAGCAATTAATGATAGATACCCAAATAATCAATAAATATTTATGAAATGTTCTAGAGACTGTATAGAGGAGATTTAGTTTTGGGAACTGCCCTCAGGAGATTCACAATATTACTATTAATTAACACACTGGTTGAGGAAAAACAGGCTTCAGAAGCCTGGAGCACACCGAGTACTTTACCCAGCACTGGATTTGGAATGGGGAGTCCAAGTCATAATCATGGCTCTGCCATTAACTTGCTGTGTGCTGTTAGGTGGGTGATTACTTCAGTTCTTTCTCCGGGAACCGGTTTATTCAGCTGTAAAATGAAGCATTTGACTTTGAACGTTGATCCTCAAGGTCCTTCTCAGCACTGGTATTCCCTGAAGGCAGTGGATGAATAACAGAGATTCGAATAATCTCTATAAGGACAGGATCTCTAATGGGGCATTTTGAGGATTATTAACTTGCTGTGTCCTGTTGGGTGGGTGATTACTTTATTTCTTTCTCCTGGAGCCAGTTTCTTCAGCTATAAAATGAAGCATTTGACCTTGAAGTGATGATCCTCAAGGTCCTTCTCAGCACTGGTATTCCTTGAAGGCATTGGATGAATAATGGAGATTCCAGTAATCTCTAATAGGACAGGATCTCTAATGGGGGCATTTTGGGGATTATTTTGGCCTCTCATTGTTGGTTTGTTTCTTTAGCTGCAAATGTACTTAGGACTCATGATTTTTTTCTGTAACTAGAATGCCGCATATAAAATACTTTTTGCATTCAGTTGGATAAAATGAGCAGAAAAGAAGAAAACCGGTTTTACTAAGATAAATGGGCAAAAATTGGAAGAAAGGGGAGTGTGGTTTTGGAGGGTCCAGATGGTAAGATCCTGATTGGAAGGTGTGTTGGTTAAACAATTTCTGAACTAACCGCCAGATGGCATCACTGGCCAGGACTGTTTACTATTTGCTAGAAGGGGTAGGACAAAGTGAAAGGAAGCCACCCTCGGGCGAATGAGGTAAGGGGAAAGCAATGGACAAATTGTCCTAATTTATAAAGATGGTCACAGATTGGATATTCTTTACTCAGTGTGTCTGTATGCAGTATTAGGGTGGACTAATGTCTCACTTCAAAGAAAAATAAGAGCGTAGTACCACTTGGCCTAAAATTGTTATTCGTGTTACTAAAATGGAATCATTTTCCACATTTCCAAATATATTCCAAGTTTCTGAAATACTACTAGTGCATTGGGAGGCAGAGCATTTTCGAGCTTCATGTCTGTAAATGGTTTCTCTTTACTGTCATTCAGGAAAATCAGAATAAATGATTGAGGTAATACTTAAAAAAAATGATATTAAACTTTGTAGAAACAGTGAGACAGGATGATTAGGGGAAAGAGCATCCTGGTGGGAATCATCAGGTCTCCTTGGTGCCAGCCCTGGTCCTGTTAGTATGTTGCTGTCACTTCACCTCCCTGCACCTCATTTTTTCAAGCCATGGAATGAGAAGATTGAACTATCTGATCATTTTCCAAACTGCTTTAGTTGAACACAAACATCCCATGGGAAATTATTATGTTTTCTTTAAAACAGAAGGTTTCATGGTTTAATGAATGAGAACACTTCCCATTTTATTTCCTTTTTGAAGAGTAACGTGCATATTTAAGTTTTGGAAGATTCTGATGTAACTTGTCCAAAACTTGAATCACAAAAATACTTATTTCTTAGAACATTTGTTAACAGCTTAGTGATACCAGGGATATGATTTCTGTGACTTCCAGAAGTAACTGTGCTGTAACGGTTCTAGACTAATAGTTAAACCACTTACGTTGTAGTCCTGATTTTACCATCTTGGACAAGTCACTCAACTGAATTAACCACCAGATGGATGCCTTACCTCAGATGACATCTGATCTCTGTAAACAAAATGGGGATAGCACTAGTTGCTCTGGCAGTTAAATGAGACTATGTGTACACATAGTCTCACACATGATAGGTATTTAAGAAATGGTATTTATTTTTCCTTTTTGACTTTAAGACATTAGACTAAAATCCTTATTGTTAACATTCTGTAAAGGGAGAAAAAAAGGGGATGTGATAAAATTAATTATTTTGAAAGTGTTCCTATTAATTTATAGATTTCAGAGATTTTTTGTTGTTTATTCATTTTATTTTGTTTTTCATTTGTTTGTTTAGGGATGGGGTCTCAATGCTTTTGCCCAAGTTGGAGCACAGTGTGCTATCACAACTTACTGCATCCTTGACCTCCCCAGCTGAAGCAATCCTTTTACCTCTGCTTCCCCGTAGCTGGGATACAGGCATGCACCACTGTGCCTGTCTTCTTAGGTCTTAAAGTTTTAATGGTTACTTGGAATCTTTTGAATTAACTGTGAAATCATAATGAAGTTAGACTCATATCAGGTCAAAGACCTAATATTGCATGCCAGTATTCCTTTGAGATCTTGGGTGTTTTTGTTTGTTTTGTTTTGTTAATAATTTGAAATCTCTTAGATTCCAAACTTTTCTCAAAGGATAGGGAAAAGCTATGTTTTCCATAATTTGGAATTTTCTTATTATGGGATAGACAACCGGTTTACTTACAGAAATAGTGCTGAGGATAATTCAAGTTGCTTTTATTTAGTCTGGAAATGAACCATGCAGTTTTTAAAAATTAATTTGCTTTGTCACTTATAGTAAGCATGTGCTTGTGTTGAAATTACTGTAGGTTTTCTTTAAGTGTGTCATTTGGGTAAGTAGGTGGAGTCTGCCATTGAAAGTGCTGTATCTTTGGACTTCAAAGAGAACTTCCCATGAATAATCCAAAAAATATGATTGAGTCTTAAGTATAAGTTTCCGTGACTTTTTAAAGTTGGCCTATATCATAGAACTTCAACTGATACAATAGAACACAATGGGTACTGTGTGAATATAGAAAAAGTATTTTATTTGATTTTTCAGTTCCTAAAACCTTAAACGTTTTCTATAAGAATACTGTGAAATATGAATCGTGTGATCTATATGGAACAGAGGAAGCATTTTTATTGAAGTTTTTAAGCTTTTTTACATTTCTTAATCTTTTTATCAGAAAATAAAGCTAGCTTTAGTCGTTGCCGAAGCTTTTAGTAATGATCTCTATAAATGGTTTTGTAATAGTGTGTAATCATATGTTGGTATATGGTATACATTTAGCTGTCTGGTATATGTACATAAAATTAGTATAGTTTTCACATTCCATTCAGTTTTCTCACTTGCTTTGGTGTAAGTAATAAACTTTCATCCTGATACAACTTGCTCTTGTGAGAGAAAGAATCACATAGGTAACT